AGGTTCCCTCATCTATCCGCGCTCATGGAGGAGCTCGATCTCCAAGTCTTCTTATCAAGTCAACTTGTACCCTGAGCTGCCTAAGCAAGCTCTTTGAAGAGGTCAAACACTAATATCGAGTTGAAACTCCCTCGAACTGGCTACACCCGAGCTAACTACTCAAGCTGGTTCACCGAGCTATTATGAGTGTTTTATCAACCTCATCGTCATGAAAGATGATTTCCATAGCATTCATAAATTCAGTTTCAAATTTTTGCCAACACACCAATGCTTAAAAACAATATCAATAATCAATAACTTAAAAATAATAAACGAATGCACCAAGACTTTGAGAACATTTTTTGCGCTAGATATGGATTTGTAAATATTGCCCTTGTTTGGTAATCAGCGGTTAACTGATTGAATTAGTTGTTTTGACCAACGGATTGCGTTAGCTGTTTTGACCAGCTGATCGTATTTGTTGTTTGTATAAAAGTGTTTGATAAAATTAGCTATTTTGATTAGCTGTTATCATGTAAAATTACTTATAAGGACATCAACATACTTTATCTTTTTAATTTATGTTAAACTTATAATTCTTTAGGAATAGAAATAATTAATATTTCAAATATTTAATAAAGTAATTTAAATATGATAGAAATATAAATAATAATAAAATGAAAATGTTTCATAATTGAGTAAATAAGTTCACATCATATAAATAAAGTCAATAACAAGTCATCATTAATTAAAAATATAAATGTGAGTCAATTGTAATATCTACTATTACAATTAAAAAAAACAAATGTTCTAAGAACGACGTCTAGATGCCATCAAACTTGATGCTATATTGTTATGAATGTTTGCCATATGAGTCCTCATTTCTCCATCACCTTGTGTATATTTCAACATCTTGAAAAATATCAGGAGGTTGACTCTAAAGCCCGTATCAGCAATTGTGCTTCTTCTGATATAAGTGTAAAGTGCAAAATATGAACAAATGATTCTATTTTGATCCGTTAAAGAATATCTCGGCATTTTATGTAGTATCTTCCATTGAGCCTTAAGAACACCAAAAGCCCTTTCAATGCAACTTCTTAAAGATGAATCAGCCCTTTCAGTGCAAATTCTCAATATGGGTTTTCATCTAAACACCAAATAAAATTTAAAACTAAAATCACAGTAATTAAATTTCGTGAAGTTATCAAGTACACACAATAATTCACTCCGGAGTCATGCATAAATGCTATATTTTTACCAACAAACTGAGCACAAATTTTTCGTAAGGAGGATTCAATCCAAATCATAATAATTGAAATAATAAATTCAAATACCCACAAAATTCTTCCAAGGAGATAATCATGATTTTTTTTTCGTTTAGTTATCCATATCTGCAAGCACATAATGAAATCTCTGTACTTCTTAAATTTCGAATGTTAATTAATATACTTGTCACTATTTTGAAATTCTTGGTGTTAATTAATCAATAGTTACACTAATATATGTTTTTCATTTCAGTTCTCTCACCCCACACACACACACATACACACACAGAGAGAGAAAGGGAGATGGAGGGAGGGAGGAACCTCCGAGAGAAAGGTACTAAGGGGAAAAATACACATTCAGTAACATCAAGAACACAGGGGACGAAGTTCAGGCGAATGTCATCAAAGCCACCAGAAATTTGTTACCGGAAGAAAAATTCAGAGCAAAATAGCAGATAAAGAGAGGAATAATAAAATGGAAAGTGTAGAAGGGCAATTAGGGCTGAACAGATTTTTATTGTAGACCACTAAATCAAAACGCTGCTAAAAGCAACGTTTTCAATTTTGGCGGATGGGGCAAATAAGCTATATGTAAAAGCCATTTACCAAACATGTTTTTTTAGATGATTAGAAAAGTCAAAACAGCTAAAATGGTGGAAAAGTTATTTTGAGAGCAAAAAGCTATTAAACAAACACAGCCATTGTCAATTTGCTTCCAAATATTATTAAGGCAACCAGAAGGATTCCAAATGAATATGTATGGAAATATTTTCATGAATAGTAAGTTAAACATTTGAGTAACAAAAATGCTCCTTACCCCGTACATTTTCCATCGCATGAATTACTCCATGACGTGTCAGTATAATTTTCTTCATTATTTGGCCAAAATAAAATCATAAAAATTGACTTTTTTTAACGTCTTTCCTAATCTCTCTCTCTCTCCTCTTTTTGTTTCTTTTTATCACTTCTTCCTCAATTTTTTTCATCTGTCAAATTTTTGTTCTTCCCTGGTTTTTTCATCGATTTTTTTTTGTCGACTGCACTCCCTGATTTCCCAGCCTCAGATATTCGTTTTTTCCATAAATTTTTTTGCCTAGGGATGTATTTCTCCAAATTCTATCCAACACACAAATATTAATTTTAAAATGTTCAAATTAGTAGACATAGTAACAATTAACGTACATTTCAAAACAGTAATTTCAAACTAATATATGAAAATAGTTGGAAAAAAATAAATATGATAAGAAAAAAAATTTCAGGGATCCCTTTATGTTTTCTCAGCTCTGGAAATGAAAACAAAAAAAAAAATGAAATAACAAGATATATGGAGCAAGCAATTGAGAGGTCTGAGAGTTTTTTTGTTTTTCCCATTTTATTTTCATTTTTATTTTATGTTTGGTGCGCGAGATATCTGATTTTTATTTTCATTTTTGATTTTTTATTAACACGGCTTTAATAAAATTATGTTTCTTTGTTGGCCGAATAAAAAAGAAAACTATTGACACATCAGGGAGTAAATTTTGCGGTGGGAAATGGACGGGGCGTGTAGCGGTGTTGTTTGAGTAATGCTACATAACCAACCTAGTGTACAACTAGATTGACAATACAAGTGTAAACATTCATAAAATTAAAAATAAAAAAAAAAAATACACAAGTGGATGTTTACACTTATGTTGTCAACCTAATTGTATACTAGATTGGCAATGTAGCATTTTTCTAAACATTTTAAACAAAAAATTTAACTTACGTAAATTGAATTTAATAACATTTTTAGACATATATAGATACAGATACTGATATTGTTCTAAAATACTTACACAGTAACAAAAATATTTACTCATAAGTTTTTTTCAACCTATCATAAAAATATATGAAATTCAAACAATATTTATTTTTAGATATTGATCAATCTAAAAATAGAATTAAAAATATATCACTAAAATGAGCAGCCAAATTGACAAAGTTGACGGTAATTGCAATTGTTACACAATGTAGTGTTGTACTTACAACGGGAACCTATGAACTGACTGAAGTGTTCAGTTCTTACAATTTGAACTAAAACAGAAACGAAAAATTACAAAATAGAAAGCGAAAATAGCCGAGGCGATTGCTCTTTCCGCAAGACGAAAACGCCCCGCATAGTGCTGACGGGTACAGGCGTCCCGTCCCCAAAGATACAACGGCTTACGTCTCGAACGCTGTAGCACACCAGAATTCGAGCTCCGACGAACTGGAATGAAGTCGAGAACAGAGCAGTATGATATGATGCGTGAGGCTTTGAGAATAATCAGAGAGCATGAAATGTTGTGTGTATCTCACTTGCAGCTCTAAGTCCTATTTATAGGACTTCCACCTCTGAGGGATAACCAGGAGTCACAACAGCCACTTAAGGCTGAGATAAATGGCACCATTAACATCAAAACGTTTCAGGTGTTAAAACCCCATTAACCAGGAGGAGTTAACACCATTAACCCTTCATCACCTGAGCTGTTACATTTCACATGAAGAGTCATGTGTCCAGGTTCATTGTACTGGAGAGATTTCACTTGGGTTGGGTCAAAACCCGAGTCCAAATCCAACTAGAATTGGAATTTTCAATTGGGCCTAAAGTTGCAAATAAATTTGCAGCAAAAAGATATATAGTGATTGGG